ACATTCCTTGGGAATATTCCACGAGCGTCCCTGGGGAGGCGGCACTCGGGGACTTGGTTGGGCTCGGGGGCTTTTCCGGCCTGGGGAATTCCAGGATTCCCGGGATTCCGGTACCTTCCTGTGCTCGTGGTCGATCATGACGTTGTGCGGCTTCACGTCCCGGTGCATCACCCCCATGCTGTGGCAGTAATCCAGGGCCTGCGGGAAACAGGGAAAAACGGGAATGGGGATGGGAATGGGGATGGGAACGGGATGGGAATGGGGATGGGATGGGGGCTGGCAGTGATCCAGGGCCTGCGGGAACACCGGGAATGGGAATGGCAGTAATCCAGGGCCTGAGGGAAAACCGGGAAAAACGGGAATGGGAATGGGATCAGTAATGGGATCAGGAATGGGATCAGGAATGGGATCAGGAATGGGATGGGGGCTGGCAGTGATCCAGGGCCTGTGGGAACACTGGGAATGGGAATGGGAATGGGAACGGGATGGGAATGGGGATGGGATGGGAATGGCAGTGATCCAGGGCCTGCGGGAACACCGGGAACACCGGGAATGGGAATGGGATGGGATCAGGAATGGCAGTAATCCAGGGCCTGCGGGAAAACAGGGAAAACCGGGAATGGGAATGGCAGTGATCCAGGGCCTGCGGGAAAACAGGGAATGGGGATGGGAATGGCAGTGATCCAGGGCCTGCGGGAACACCGGGAATGGGAATGGGGATAGGAATGGGAATGGGGATGGGGATGGGATGGGAATGGCAGTAATCCAGGGCCTGCGGAACACCAGGAATGGGATGGGAATGGGAATGGCAGTAATCCAGGGCCTGAGGAAGACTGGGAATGGGGATGGGGATGGGAATGGCATGGGAATGGGGATGGGAATGGGAATGGCAGTGATCCAGGGCCTGCGGGAACACTGGGAATGGGAATGGGAATGGCAGTGATCCAGGGCCTGCGGGGGAATGGGAATGGGATGGGAATGGGAATGGGAAAGGGAATGGGAACGGGATGGGGGCTGGCAGTAATCCAGGGCCTGTGGAGAAACCGGGAATGGCATGGGATGGAAGTGGGAATGGGAATGGGATGGAATGGGATGGGGGCTGGCAGTGATCCAGGACCTGCGGAACACTGGGAATGGGATGGGAATGGGAATGGGGATGGGATGAGGGGCTGGCAGTGATCCAGGGCCTGCGGGAACACCGGGAATGGGAATGGGGATGGGAATGGGGATGGAATGGGAATGGGGATGGGAATGGGAATAGGGATGGGGATGGGAATGGGGATGGGAATGGGAATGGGAATGGCATGGGAATGGGAATGGGAATGGGAATGGGGATGAGATGGAATGGGAATGGGAATGGGGATGGGAATGGGGATGGGAATGGGAATGGGGATGAGATGGAATGGGAATGGGAATGGGGATGGGAATGGGGATGGGAATGGGAATGGGGATGA